CTAATCTCGATTACATTAAGGCCTTGATTGACTCTTATCATCCCTGTGTGTCTATCCTTGCAGGAAACATTCCTGAAACCTGCCGATACAGTCACCTTTCAGCAGTTTTCTCTGTACCGGAATGACAGGTTGTGTGATGGGCGGGTGCATGGAGGGGTGGCACTGGTAGACCAGCATGTGCCTTCCTTATCTGTGTCCCTCGATACACCCTTGGAGGCCATAGCCATCCGTGTTTCCTTGGGTTCTACCATCACTGTTTGTTCTCTCTGCCTGTCTCCTGGGGAGGCTTATGATCAATCAGACCTTGGTGCTCTCGTTGACCAGTTGCCATATCCCTTTTTACTTCTGGGAGACTTTAATGGACACAACCCCCTGTGGGGTGGTGCTGATATTGATGGGAGGGGCCATTCCATTGAGCATATGCTCTCGGATCACAACCTTTCTCTCTTTAATAATGGTGCATATACTTATTTTCATGTACCTAGTCAGTCTTTTACTGCCATTGATCTCTCGATTTGCTCCCCTTCATTTTTCACTTGATTTTCTTGGATGGTCGACTGTGATCCACGGGGCAGTGATCATTGTCCTATCATTATGAATGAGGTTGGCCATGGTCGATGCCATCCGACCCGAGTGCCACTGTGGAAGCTGGACCAGACTAACTGGCCATCGTTCACCTCTCTCTTTGAACTTGATCCTGCCATCGTCTGTCTGCCATCAGTAGACGACTGTGTTGTTGCAGTAAGTGACTCTATTGTCCAGGCGGCAGCTTGTTTTATTCCTAAGACCTCGACATGTTTTCCATGGTATCCTCGTCCATAGTGGTGTCCTACCTGCCAGAGGGCATGGAAGGCTCAAAAACGGGCCTGGGATACCTTCGGACAACATCCCTCTCTTTCTAACCGCATTGTTTATCAGTGGGCCTGTGCCCATACTCGGCAGGTTCGACGTCAGTGCCAAAAGGAATCTTGGATTAAATTCACTACTAGCATCTCTTCTACCACCAGTTCCAAAACTGTATGGGACAAGATTCGGAAAGTTTCTGGGAGGTATGCTTTCCATCTTGCTCTCCAATGGCCAAGAAGTTGCTGATGTCCAAAGCATTGCTGATGCTCTCGGCCACAGCTTTTCTCGTGCTT